CTTTTACTTTCCTAGATCTGTGGTCAGGTGACATGCTGATCCAGAGTTGTCTATCTTTGGGACTGCAGAGAAGGATACTCCCTCTTCTGGTGCTCAGCTTATACTTCTCATTTGCTGTCCACTGGTGGGGTCCTCTCACATTCCAGAAGGCTGCAGTGGCAGGATGATTTCTCTATAAGCTGATTACAATGTTGGATAACCAGTTTCCATTTCTAGAAGAGAGACAAGGGACACATAATGATGGATTCAAATAAGCAAAAATTGTATTTTTGATTTTTTACGTGAATTGATGGGAGTAGGGGTACAGATGAGCTTTAAATAGACCCTGCCCCCACATTTTGCAACATCACCTGAGTATGTTTTTGTGTTCTCTACAATTAGAAGTGGTACAAGAATGGGTGGTCTTTTGCAGCACTTCATACAGGCAAATATTCTTTGAAATCATATCACCTTTTTTTATAAACACCTAAATGATTAAAGATAGTTTAATAAAATAGGAAATCACCTTAGTGACTCATTAAAAAGTTATTTTGCACTATCACCTGTTAAGGTAACTTAATTTAATTTTGACAAATGGTAAAGAAAAACAGAAAAGTATCTGGGCTCATAGCTGATGTACGCTGTGTGCACAGGAATCATGGCAACATTATATTGTGGAATCTATAACTGAATGTATATATAAAATGTGACTAAATGTAAATATAAAATGTGTGCCAAATGTAACCTGCAAGTCACTAGCAAAAGTAAATTAATGCTTGCAACTAAAATTTAATTGAACCATCTTGTACTGCCAATTTTTACCTGTTTTATACAGTCCATATAATACAGTGGCTAAATGGTTAGCACTTCCACTTGGCAGTACTAGGGTTGTTCGTTCGAATTCCAACAACAGCACCACCTGCCTGGAGTTTGCATGTTCTCCCTGTGCCTGTGTGGGTTTCCTCCAGGTACTCCAGTTTCCTCCCACACTCCAAATACATGCTGGTAGGTTAATTGGATCCTGTCTAAAGTGGCCCTAGTATGTGTATGTATGAATGGAAGTTAGAGACCTTAGATTGTATGTCCCTTAAGAGTTAGGGACTGATGTGAACGAACATATATATGTAAAGCGCTGCGTAAACTGACTGTGCAATATAAGTACCTATAATAAATAAATATCCTAACTTAGACACAGAATTTATTATTACAGGTACTTATATAGCACCATCAATTTACACAGCACTTATAAATGTATATACATATTGTACTTTCACATCAGTCCCTAACCCCCAAGGAGTGTACAATCTAAGGTCCCTAACGTATATTCATATATACTAGGCCCAATCTAGACAGGAACCAATTAACCTGGCAGCATGTCTTTGGAGTGCAGGAGGAAACCAGAGTACCTGCAGGAAACCTGCACAGGCACAGGGAGAACATGCAAACTCCAAGCAGGTGGTGCTGTGGCTGAGATTCAAACCAATGACCCTAGTACTGCCAGGCAGAAGTGCTAACCATTTAGCCACTTGCTAAATGTGCTAACCATTTAAGGGGCTTAAACAAATATAGGGACATATACAATCATTTATTATTAGAGTCTTTTAAATACTGTCAAATGTAAAAAAAGAGGGTGGAAATAATCATCTTTTATTTAAAGTGATCAAAAAAAGGTCAAGGTAAATAGCAGTAGATCTTCGATCTGGATCTTGTAAATCCTTTTAGAGCATCAAGGTGGTTATAGTGTAGCTGATTAACATACAAGACAAGACAAGACAAGACAAGTGCTGAATGACCAGATGTAAACAAAGGGCTACTGGGAGAGGGAATAAAATAAATAATAGATAAACTCTACCTTGTATGTCATCAATTAACCCCACAAGCATCACATTGCACCACCAGAGACTGATGATAATTTCAGAGACCAGTGCCTGTCCATGATTAAAAATGACTCCTGATTTAGCACCCACAAAATGCCCGCCATCATATTGAAGGTGAAGGGATTCACCATAACAATGTCTGACGGCTGACATGGTCCCCAACTGGTGTGCATGTATGTACGGTGGTGGACATCCATTGTATAACATAATTGTGGCCCTATGGATCAGAAGTGCTCATGTCCAGAGCCAAAAAAGGCATGGCCATGAGCCTCAACTAAAAGGCCACCCACCAGCTAGGCAGGATCAAAATGCACAATCAAAGGGGAAGCCTAAACCCAAACAGTACCCAAACTGTGGGGGAGACAAAGGTGACTCTTACGTATACTGTACATACAAGTGCACATGATACCATAGGTCAGGCATGTCCAAAGTCCGGCCCGCGGGCCATTTACGGCCCGGGGGTCAGTTTAATACGGCCCTCCAACAGCCCTCCCTGCTCTGTGTAATGTGGCCCTCCTACGGCCCTCCCTTCTATGGCAGACAGTCTTCTGCTTGAGAGCAGAGGGCAGTGCGCATGCCTGACTGCGGCGCGTTCTCCCTGGTCTGTGTAAATGTGGCTGTCGCACGGCCCTCCCTTCTGTGGCAGACAGTCTTCTGCTTGAGAGCAGTGCGCATGCGTGACTGTGCCGCGCTGGGAGCGACAGAGGGCGGTGACGTCAGGGCCGGGCTTCCAGCGTGAAGTGTGTTTCTCTTCCCCTCCCGGCTGCCGAGCAGAGACTTCAGCTCCAGCTACCTTTTTCACCCTTCACATTAGTGCAGGTAAGTTTTTTTTAAATTTATTTTCAATACATTGTGAAAACTCAGCTGTCAGTTGATCTTAATGTTATGAAAGGAAAAGTATGTCGTTTGCAATTAACTTGGCATAAAATCATTTATTTGCATTTAATTGTAATGGTTCAAAGAATGTTCGGAAAAATGTTCGGCCCACCACCATGTTCACTTCATCCAATCTGGCCCTCTTTGAGAAAAGTTTGGACACCCCTGCCATAGGTAATCATGTCATTCAGGCCTGGATGTATTGTGGTCTTAAGATGGTGGATCAGTCTTCTTTCATGCTGCGATATACGGTCACACCCACAGTATGTATTATTTTACTGGTGCTGCAAGAAAATAAAATTGGGAGTGATATTCACTCTGAGTGCACAGTGAGCTACAATAAAACTGTGAAATTACATTCTGGTATGACCTGAGTGACATCTCTGGTTTTGCTGTGGCAAATGATGTAATTATTAGGATGGCTGAACCCAGCAGTGAAGAAAAAGACTTCTGAGAGAGTGGAAGAATATAGGCATAGTGAGGTAATGGGGCAGTAAATGTCACAGAAAAGAAAAACTAAAGCCACTGTTATCAGAAGAGAAAGGTGAAAACCCTATTAGTATATGTTTTGCTGTCTCTCCTCTGCCAGGGAGATTTCCATTTTGCTATGTGTTCTAGAAGTGCAACAGCAAGTGAAAGGAAATTTCCCCAAAGTAAGGGGAATTACCATCTCAGACAATTGTCAATGGAACTTTTTGTCCTCAATGGAAGATTTAACTTTACCTCTGTCATGACAATCCTAACTTTTTATATTTCTCCTGAACTCCTGTGGTTAAGTAAAGTTATGTAAAGTGTTAGGATGATGAAAAATCTTAAGGTTAGGTGATAACTGTGGGAATATGGGTACTTGCATGGGCATTTAACCACTTGCCCTCCAGAGGATTTACCCCCCTTCCTGACCAGGCCATTTTTTGCGATACTTCACTGCATTACTTTAACCACTTCCCATCTGGCCCATGTATATAAACTACCGGACAGGAGCAGTGCAGGAGCGGATTGCCGTTCATAAACGGCGCCTGCATTTCCAGCCTGTGCGCTCTCCCTGGGACACAGCGGAACACTGATCGATGTACGGGACCGATCACTGTACAGGACCTCAGTGTGAGGTCCCTATCATGTGATCACTGATTGGCCAATCAGTGATCACATGAATAGTAGTAAGCAAGATGTAACTTCTGACATCATTACTTACTACTTGTAAAATCTGTGAATGATCACAGAGGTCACATGGTACAAGTCTATTCACAACAGCCTTGTACCATGTGACAAGCTGTGACCAATCACAACTCTCACAGTATTTCTCAATGGCTGCAAGAATGCAGCCAGAGAGAAGGAGAAATGATTGCTTTTACAGCCTTTATGGGTGTAAAAACAATCAGTGTAAAAAAAAAACAAAAAAAATCTTCATCACCCCCCACAAGTAGTACAGTGTCACTATGGTGACACTGTACTGCTAGGGTGACAATATGTTAAAATAAAAAAAAACATAATATAAAAAAATAAAATAAAAATGCAACATTTTTTTTTTTAATTATAATTTTTGGTTATAAACTAATTTGTTTTTGTTTTTTTACTAACAATATAGCTGAATACATGTTGGCCAAGATTTGTGAAGAAATATTATTTATTTGCAAAATTTTATAAGAAAAACACTTTTTTAAAAAAATGTTTGGACTTGTTCATTTATATAGCAAAAAAAAAATAAAAATCCCAGTGGTGAATAAGAACCACCAAAATAAAGTTTTATCTGTCTCAAAAAAATGCAAAAAAATTCATATGGGTACAGTGTTGCATGACCGCTCAGTTGTCATTCAAGGTGTGACAGCGCTGAAAGCTGAAAATTGACCTGGACAGGAAGGGGGTGAAAGTGTCTGGACTTAAATGGTTAACTGACAATTGCGTGGTCATGCAACACTGCACCCAAATTAAATTTACATCCTTTTTTTCCCTCAAATACAGCTTTCTTTCAGTGGTACTTGATCACCTCTGCATTTTTATTTTTTGCCCTATAAACAAAAAAAGACCAACAATTTGAAAAAAACCCCTTATATTTTCACTTTTTGCTATTAAACATGTCCAGTAAAAAAATGTATAAAATCAAATTTCATCATAAATTTAGGCCAAAATGTATTCTGCTACATGTCTTTGCTAAAAAAAATCCCAATACGTGCAAATGAATTGGTTTATGTGAATATATACTGGAGTTTTAATTAATTACTGTATTTTTCGCTCCAAAGGACGCACCTGACCATAAGACGCACCTAGGTTTTAGAGGCAGAAAACAGGAAAAAAAATATTCTAAACCAATGGCCTGCAGACATAGTACAGGAGATGACCAGAAACTGTGGACATAGTACAGGAGATGACCAGAGACTGCAGACATAGTACAGGAGATGACCAGAGACTGCGGACATAGTACAGGGGATGACCAGAGACTGCGGACATAGTACAGGAGATGACCAGAGACTGCAGACATAGTACAGGAATGACCAGAGACTGCAGACATAGTACAGGAGATGACCAGAGACTGCGGACATAGTACAGGGGATGACCAGAGACTGCGGACATAGTACAGGAGATGACCAGAGACTGCAGACATAGTACAGGAATGACCAGAGACTACAGACATAGTACAGGAGATGACCAGAGACTGCGGACACAGTAGAGGAGATGACCAGAGACTGCGGACACAGTACAGGAGATGACCAGAGACTGCGGACATAATACAGGAGATGACCAGAGACTACAGACATAGTACAGGAGATGACCAGAGAGACATAGTACAGGAATGACCAGAGACAGACATAGTACAGGAGATGACCAGAGACTGCAGACACAGTATAGGAGATGACCAGAGACTGCGGACACAGTACAGGAGATGACCAGAGACTGCGGACATAATACAGGAGATGACCAGAGACTGCGGACTGCAGTACAGGAGATGACCAGAGACTGCGGACACAGTACAGGAGATGACCAGAGACTGCGGACATAATACAGGAGATGACCAGAGACTGCGGACATAGTACAGGAGATGACCAGAGACTGCGGACACAGTACAGGAGATGACCAGAGACTGTGGACATAGTACAGGAGATGACCAGAGACTGCGGACATAGTACAGGAGATGACCAGAGACTGCAGACACAGTACAGGAGATGACCAGAGACTGCAGACATAGTACAGGAGATGACCAGAACTGTGGACATAGTACAGGAGATGACCAGAGACTGCACACAGTACAGGAGATGACCAGAGACTGTGGACACAGTACAGGAGATGACCAGAGACTGCGGACATATAGTGACCAGAGACTGAGATGGTCAGAGACTGCGGACATAGTACAGGAGATGGTCAGAGACTGCGGACATAGTAGGAGATGACCAGAGAGACTGCAGACATAGTACAGGAGATGACCAGAGACTGCGGACATAGTACAGGAATGACCAGAGACTGCAGACATAGTACAAGAGATGACCAGAGACTGCGGACAGCACAGGGATGACCAGAGACTGTGGACAGCACAGGAGATGACTGCTGACCTTTGGGGATTGGGGGGAGTGGGTACCTGAATTTGACAGGTACCCGCTCTTACTTTCGCGGAGTTGTTCTTTGGTTAGTGTTCGCTCTGCAGCGGGACCTTACCTGTTCCTCTATCCAGCGCCACGTTGTCTTCCCGGCTTCTTTAGTGTGGGTGCTCGGCTTGACAGCCGGGTGCCCAGTGTGCATGAGCGAGAAGCGCTGCTTTGTGATTGGTCCGGCGGCTTCTGCGACCTGTCATGTGTCCCACGTGCTGCCTTACCATTCACAAAGCCCACCGCTTCTCGCGCATGTGCACTGGGCACCCGGCTGTCAAGCCGAGCGCCCACAATACAGAAGCAAGGAAGACAGCGCGGTGCTGGGTAGAGGAACAGGTAAGGTCCCGCTGCAGAGCTGAGCGGCCGGCCCTGTATTCTGACACGGCGGCAGTGGAAATACCGGACCGGCCGCTCCATATTCGCTCCATAAGACGCACTGACATTTTCCCCCCTTTTTTGACATCAATATAGTGATCAGTGCTAATAAAGAGCACTGACACTGTACTAATGGCACTGAGCAGAAAGGGGTTAACATATGGGGTGATCAAGGGGTTAACTCTGTTCTGTGTTTGTTTTACTGTGTGCTGAGTGTGTACTTTAAACTGTAAGGAGCTGACAGGGGAGAGATCTGTATTTTTTCTGCACAGGTCTCTCCCCCGACAGTGATACTTGGCGATCGCCAGGTGCTATTGGGGAATCGCCGTCTGGAGCCCGGTGATTGGCAGCCAAGGCTGCGAATAGAATGGACCCCCTACCAAAAACTGCAAAATCATGTATATACAGTATATGTGATTTTGCTCATCCATGCGCCCTGTAGCAGTATTTCTGCTATAGGGTGGCGCGGTTAAATGAAAAGTCTAGCTAAAAGTAACACGGTGCCTTTATGCAGTACCAGTTTTCTCTAACAAAGCCATTCCTGACAGAAGGATTAGTTGCTGTATAAGTCTGACATGTTTTCAGGCACATCTTTCTTTCAGAATAAGGAAATAAAAATGCAGCGTGTTCCCCTGAAACTTTTCATGTCTAATGAATATGGTTTATAGCTTTCTTCATCCAAATATTAGGAAGATAAATAGTGGACCATTCTAGCACATTGTGATATTGCATCTTCGAATTAATGCTTTTCAACTGCAAGGGAAGTAGTGGTATATGCAATTATCTGCCTCCCTAGAGACAGATAGCCTCACCCCTGTGTATAAGTATCCATAAAGTAGCCACCAGAATGATATATATGCTTTCTTTTTCCTTATGTGTGATATTTTTTGTAAGCATGCTTTAAGCTAATGTGACAGGATTCTCTCTAATGTCACAGGGGGATGAAAAAGTATTGTTTAATCAATATTCAACCCAGCATTTCACTGCTAGTCAGTGGTTTACACCACAGTAATAAATTACCTATCAGCAGTCTTTTCTCTTTATGTCCAATGTGTGTGGTCTATTCAAAAAAACCTATTTCATGCTGTAAGAAGTTTGTCAAAGTTATGAGCTGGAAATCAGAAGCCAAAGGCAGCCAGTATAAGAGTCTGACTTCCATACATTTCCTGCATTGTTTGATGTGGGATTCAGTGCAAATCACCTTAATTCAAACACATTACTTGACAGATGATGGCATAGCAGTTAAATATTAAAAATGCTGACATGAAATGCTATTGACATCTCTTAAAAACAGGAGAAAAATGCAGTACATACAGAAACAATCAAAAGAGTGGCATATGATACTCTTTGGATGGATTTGTCACAATACATAATGAGAAACTGGAGTTAGACCTATATATTAGAATTAAAGAGACAGTAACCAATATCAACAGTTCCTTTATGTCTAGCTCAGGATAATGAAATGATCTATGTGTTATAAAAAATTCAAAATTTCTACTATGCAGTTTATAAGCAAACCCAGCATTTTCAGCTTCCAGCTACTTCTGTGTCATGACAAATTCATAATCCTCAAAGAGCAACCTCAGGCAAGTAAATTCAATCACTGAACTGCCAATGATATCTAGAAAATATTAGTACTTTTCTGGAAATCAGAAAGTCCACTCAGTTTGTGATCTGAAGGTTATACAATCCCTTTCAGCCAGATTCAAGAGGCTTTTCACAGTGCCTCTGGGTGAGATTAAAGGTTTTTTCTACATGAATGTGTGCAATGTAATCTCTTTCTCATGCTCCAATATGTGTGCATAGTAGCAGCATAGTGTAGAGAAAGGGTGATATTTGTAACTATGGTATGCTTAGACTACATTTTTTTGTAGAAAAAAAGCTTCAAACTTTAGAAACATAGTCAGCCAGTAGGACAGCCAGGTGCAAAAACCAGACATCTACATGCAACATTTTCATGCCTGAAACCTCTCAACTAGTGATAAGTTAAAGTGGCTGTAAATCCTTACCTATACCAAGTGAAGTGACTGGCCTCAGGTTATACACAGAGATTAAATAAATCACCCTACATAAGTTGTACCTGTTTATCTGAAGCCATCTTTCCACTACATCCATTCAAAGTGCAGAATTTACACAGGATCTCAGCTCTGAAAAAGCAAGGGGAGGAGAGCTGAAGTTACACTCAGTGAGGAGAGCTCAGAGAGCTGGTTGGAGGGAAGGGACACACCCCCTTCACACAGCATACAGGAAAAGAGCTGAGGCTGTCAATCACAGGCTGTGCCTTCCGCGTCACCATTTTTCTCTTGGTGTCAGGAAAACTTGTCAGCAGTGACTCATGCTTATAGCAGAGGAATAAGGCAGCAGACACAAATGACACTTAGCACACTGGATTGAGACAAATGCACATTGTAGAGGGATATGCTTTGTTCATATTTGATGTCTGAGGTTTACAACCACTTCAATGGCTGCATTAGCACATATAAGCTTGGTTTAGCTAAAGCAACCAGTCTTCCCACTAAATGTAGAAGTGATTTGGAGAGTTGCAAAGCCACCAAATAACTTTTACAATGTCTAGAATCACATGCATCTTACTTCCTCTTGGTCTTTGTATCCCAGATCCTTGTTCTTGTCTATTTATTTTGCTATAATACTCTGGAACACTGCAAAAAAAGACCATAATTCTCCTACCAAGATGCCCTTGTTTTCCCCACTACTCCCAAATAGATAATGATTGTTAATAGAAGAATGGTTTTAAAAACTGAACCCACTATGGTACTCATTAGTGTAATAAAAACTTCAGGATATACATCAAGGGATTGAATTGAACAAGGAATCTATCTATCTTTTTTTTTTAAAGAAATATTTATTGGGTTTTATCAAAAATAAAATATAACAGATATCACTTGCACGTTGAAATGATACAAAACAGCCATACAGAGAATAGTTTCACAGATAACATCAATCAAAGAGGCAGGGAGGAAAGGTAGCATGAAGTTAACTTTGGATAAATGAAACCTGAGGAGCACATTTGACTATGGGCAGGTTATCTAGTATGGACCTAACTTTGGATAATGCAGCTGCATCATGAAATGTTGGGAGGTCTCCACAGAAGGTTTCAGGCAAATATTTGGAATATTGAAATGCTATTTCTGTATACTCACATACCACAATGTACGAGTGTAAGATTACCAGCAAATGAGGATCAAAGTGGGAAAAAGAATATAAAAGAGAGAGAGGGGAAAATAAACAAGCAAAGTAAAGGAAGGAGAAGAAGGAAGAGGAGAAGGAAATTTGAGGAAAGTTGGGGGGTTGGGGGGAAGGTTAAGGGGGGAGGGGAGAGGGAGGAAGAGGAGGGAGGAAAGGGAGATAGGAGGGAAGAGGTGAAAGGAGAGTAGGGAGATAAAGAGTATTCACAGAGTTCTGATGTGTGATGATAGAGTGGGTGAGTACCTAGGCCTCTAGGGAGGTCGACAGGGGGGGTGTATTACTTCTGGAGTTTTATGTAGAGATGTTTAGACAGTCAAGTAACCAAGCCCCCAAACGATTAACATTCAAATAATAATACCAGCATCAATTAAGCAGAGGAAGACATTGAGCATATGGCACTGCAGACACTATACCAATATATTATGTCATGTTATAACATTTACAGGGGGGTGGATAGGGGCAAGACTTGCTAGAAGATTCCTTTGTTCTGACAAAGAGAATGCTCTGGATATATATAATTGCCATTTGCAAGCAAAGAATTCAGATCTATAAGGGCATGAAGAAAGTAAGTCAAGCTTGTCCTTGTGAAAGAGACAAATAATATCTTGTTTAATATCTGATATAGTGGGAGGTGTAGCCTATACTTATTTTTTTCAGAATGGCTCTTCTTGCCATCATTAGGCAAGTTGATAACCAAGGTTTGTTCTTTGAGAGACAAAGAAGATGTAGATTCCAGGTTGCCGAATAGAAGGTGTATCGGAGACTTTGGGAGCTGAACTCTGTTCACAAATTGCGTAAGGCAAAGCACTTGGTCCCAAAATTTAGAGACTTGAGAGCAGAGCCAGAACCTGTGTTTGAGAGTTGACATAAGACATTTACAAAGAGGACACTGAGAGATGGTCGGAACAGTTTTGGAGAAGACACAAGGCATATAGGCACGATGCATAATTTTCAGCTGCTGTTCCCGCCAAAATTTGTTCGTGGTGAAGGCACAGG